CCACATGAGATCCGAACCCTCGGCGGGAGCGCCACCACGCTCCCAAGTGGTGCACTCTCCAGTGCGCCACCGGGCTGGCCCTACTAATGGGTTTTGATTTTTCTTGAGTTTTTATGGCAGTAGTAGTTATTTTTCAGGTACCAAACCCAGTACTCCTTTCAGAATTTCTTGTAAGGGTGGCCATGTGGTAGTGAACTCCCACACTTTTTGTTTGTCTGAGAAATATACTGTTTGCCCTTCATTTCGGAAGGATAGCCTTGTGGAGTAGAGTATTCTTGGCTGGCATTCTCTGTCTTTTAGTATTTTGAATATATCATCCCATTCCTTTCTGGGTTTTAGGGTTTGTGATGAAAAGTCTGATGTTAGTCTGATTGGGGCTCCCTTATAGGTGGCTTGATGTTTCTTTCTTGCAGCTTTTAAAATTCTCTCTTTGTCTTTGAGTTTTGCCAATTTGACTATAACATGTCTTGAGAAGACCTTTTTGGGTTGAATACATTTGGGGATCTTTGAGCTTCCTGAATCTGAAGATCTGTGTCTGATGCTGTTGTTTTTAAAGCCTTGAGTGAGGTCTATTATAGAATTCTTTAATACAGAAGATCTCCATTGAGAGGAACGATTATTCATTAGCTCTATCCAATATTTATACTTTTATAAATAAATATGTTGTTACTGGTTGTGATAAGTATCTGTACATATATATGTGGTTGAAAGATACAGAAGTTTTTCCTAAAAGTATAAGGAATGAAACTCACTAGAAATAACGTTGTTCAAATGGTGCATGAAGCACAAAATTTTAAATATGAACTTATTATTCAAAGATCATTTAATGAACTTATTATTCAAAGATCATATGAGCCAAAATGTAATTGTTCTACATTTTAGCTTATATGGTGAAAATGGTGACTCTTATTTACTCTTGTCCTTTCACTCTTCCAATATATTTTATAAAGTTTTTCTTGTATAAGAATATCTCTGTTGAGTTACCTGCCATGGGTTCTATCTTTTTGACTGTTTTGAGTGACACTGTTTTACTCTTGTTCATAGAATGTTATCATGTATTTATATTCTTACCTCTGTACCTTTATTTTTATTTTTAATTTTTATTTATTTATTTATTTATTGGCAGCTGGCCAGTACAGGGATTGAACCCTGGACATTGGTGACTCCGCTCTAAGCTACTTAGCTAACCAGCCAGCCTCACTTCTGTAATGTTATTAGTGTCAACTGGAAGTTGTTAATTAAAAAATGTAATATAGATGCTTATTTAACATTCCTTACATAAATTTTCAGAATTCTATATATGAAAGAGTTAATTTACCATAAGATACTTCAGGAGAAAGATTATAATTGAGTTTGTCCTCCTCAGAGATTCCTGTAGTTGAACTGTTTCTTTAATTACCCTTCTGTTTCCCTCTGTTTTTTCATGTTTTTCATGTTTCACATTTGTTATAGAATTTGAAAGTATTCCATACTTACAAACTATGTTTTAAATAAGTATAATTTATTTGGGAATTGACTAGATTATAATATTTTCACCCAAAGGAATAATTTTCCTGAGCTAAAAGGGATCCTTTCTCCCTTACACTGAAAACGCAAAACTTTGGCTTTTATCACATCAGATTGTGTTATACATTTTCTTGTACATATATCTCCTGTTTTAGCTGATAATATAAATTTATTTTTAATACAATTAGCAAAATAACTCATCCAAAATATACTAATAGAAATTGAGTAAATAGATCAAAAGTACAAAAGTACAATTTTGAAATAAATGTTAGTAAACACAAGAGTCATTTATAATGCTCAATTTTTTACACTTTATTTTTATTAGTTTGCAAACAGTGGTCATGTGTGTCGGCCCAAATTGCATCGTGAGTGTGATATTCCTGAAACTTGTAATGGGAGCTCTGGAAACTGCAACCCTGACATAACTGTACGCAATGGGCAGCCCTGCAAAAATAATCAGTTCATGTGTTTCGATGGAGACTGCCCTGATCTTGATGCACGTTGTGAGGAAATTTTTGGGACAGGTAATATCTTTTTGTTACATCTAAATAGTTGGTTCTTAATATTTTTATAAACATTACCAGGACAATGGGAAATATTTTATATATTTAAAAAATTTTTTTCTATTTAATATTTATATTAAGATTGTTTTATTTTTATTAATGTATGATTGAAAAATAAAAATGGTATGTTTTTAGGTATATGACTAATATTTTGACATACATGTATTTGTGAAATATTTTTCTTTTACATTTTATTTATAAAATTTAATTAAATTTATTTATTTATTTATTTATTTTTCCTTTTTTTGTCTTTTTTACTGGCCGGTAACGGGATCGCAACCCTCGGTGTCGCGCCCGTACC